CTAGATTATGGATAATTTTGATCTTATTGGGATTTGGTTTCACATCCTCCTTTGTTAGAAATTGACCTAATAATTCCGTTTATTTTATCATGTGGAATATAATATATATAAAATCTTTCAGAATTTCATTTATTAGGCATTGAAAAGTTCCTGGTGCATTCTTAAGCACAAACGGCGTTCTTATAAACTCAAACACACGGCGTGGTGTAACAAATTCAGTTTTTTTTCGATCTTCCTTTCGTACTAAAATTTGATGGTAGTCTTTCCTTAAATCTAGGGTGGTAAAATATTGACCTCTTCCTAGTTTTCCCAATATGGAATAGATATTTGGTAAGGGATACTTATCATCAATAGTTATACCATTTAATTTTCTATAGTCTATTACTATCCTGATTTTTTTCTCTCCTGAATTATCCATTTTCTTTGACATTACTATTAATGGACTTGAATATCTTGAGTAAATTTTCTGTATGATCCCTTGTTCCTCCATTTCTTTAATTTGTCTCCTTACTTCAATTTCATATTGAGGTGGATATCTATACAATTTGACATTAATTTGTTGTTGTGTTGTGGTTTTTATTTCATGTTGAATCTCAGTAGTACTTGTTAATTTATCTCCTTCTTTATATAACAAATTTTTAAATCATTTCAATAGAATTGTAATGCCTTTATATTCTTCTTCATTTAAGTGATCTAACTTTAATCTATTTTAATTAAATTCGGTTGTTTCAAGAGTATGTAGTTAGTTAGTGTTTTTAGGCTTACCTTTCTGCCTTTTTTTTAATTATAACAATTTTTTGTTTTTCTTTTATTTCTTATTTAATGGTTTTATTTAATTTTCTTTTTCAATGTATTCTTTTTATTCTTATATTTGCTTTTTATAATGTAATTTCACTGTTTGATATTTCTGTGGGTTTTTTGTAAAGTTGTAATTAGTTTTGCTTTTTTTGATCACTTTATCACTTATCACTCGGGGGGGGGGGGGGGAAACTTGCGGTAGCGATCCACATTAAACCAGTTTTGGCTGTTGATGTTGCTTATTTATTGGAATTCAGCATTGGAATTTACCGGTGGCTGCATCAATGTATGTGTGTATGCGTAGGTGCGTATATTATTTACATCATTTTGTTTTGATGTAATTTATGCAGCCGCCGGTAAATACCCAACCAACAGTGTTGGGCAAAATTGCGTGAATTTATGAACATTTTCTGGCCCCCGAATGACAAGTGTAAGTATTCATTTACTATATACCATATGATTTCTCGTTCTTCAGTTCCTCGGCATGTTCTTGATTGGCCCAGCAAACACGTAGCCCAGTTGTGTGTTAGGCCAGGACATCTCCAATTCCAGCTGCTGTACACCCATCTTTCCTTATGGCGGAGTACGTGTCCGCTCCCAGTTCCACATCGATCGGACTATTTCCTCAGGGATCAGGCTCAGCAAGAGCATAGTTCGTAAAACATCTCGTGGGGGTCTTCTAATATCGGGTCTGAGTAAATGCGCCTGGGGAGGTCTTTAATTATTAAAGCATTTACCTTCAGACTCCAATCAGAGTTTGTGCGGCGGGGCAAAATGGTGAAGGTGGTGAATCGCTCCCCTTTGTAGCTCCGCGACTGCAGACCCAAGCGACGGAAAGCTGCATACGAGATCTTGGACATCGTCGCCGATTGGCTAACTATGGCTCGCAACATGCTGAACCCCTCCATGCCCTCGGCCGTTATGCGCACCATAGCCGTCGGTACAAATACTAAGTCCCATGCGAAAGCTGGGGTGGTGACGGCTTCTATAGTTAGGGATACCTCTTCCAATTGAGACGCCCCGTGCAATAGGGTATGGTGCCGGTCGTTGCATCTCCGGCAATCAGTTAAAGACGGGCAGTCGGGGGCCAAATGACTTCTCGCCAGGCAATTTCGGCAATACCCCCGAAGCTCCACGGTCTCATACCGCTGAAAGGGCGTCTGCCGGCGGAACCTCTCACAGGCACTGAGGGCATGGTCTTCTCGGTATAGTCCACATGAATATTGCCAGTAGCTTGGTCTTTCTTGGCGTTGGCGGGGTCTTGCATCGGATCGACTTCGTTGACGTCTTTCAGGGGATGTGGAACTGGAACGATGGATTGGCCGTATGGGTCGATTGGCGCTACTTGCTGTGGGACGGGTAGGTGAGTCTGGGCTACGGTCGCGATCGTCCAGACGGCAGTCCTGGTTAGGCAAGTAAGCGGCCATATCTGAAAAGAAATTAAGGCGAGTACAAAATTCTTTTTTTAATTGAGAATCCGACTAGGCAGTCGGAAAACAATTTGACAATTTTTGTTATGGATCTGCTAATGTTGCCACTTGCCGTTCGTACGTCTACAACCGTGGTATTTTGATCACTGCCTGGATACGTTTTTTCGATACGACCTAACTTCCATTCATGCGGAGCCAATCTATCATCTACAACTAAATCTCCTTCTTTGATGTTCTCTTTTTCATATTTCCACTTAGTTCTTCTGTGAAGTTCGTGAAGATATTCTAACTTCCATCTGTTGCAAAAGTATTATGAAATAACTTTGAGTCTTTTCCAACGATTGACTAGGCTTAAATCTGTATCTGAAATGTCTGGTTCAGCTGGGGTAAGAATAGGTGTTCCTATTAAGAAATGACCAGTGTCAAAGGGGAAAGGTCGTTTGGGTCGTCGCTAGCAGGACTTAAGGGTCGTGAGAGACAGCCTTCAATTCTTGATAAAATTGTGGTAAATTCTTCAAAGGTAATACTCATTTTTGGGATACTTTTTCGCAGATGAATTTTAAATGATTTCACACCAGCTTCTCGCAAGCCGCCCATGTGCGGAGCACCAGGAGAAATAAATTTCCAAGTAAGATTTTGAGTGAAATTATTTTGAATTGTGCTATTTTGAATATTCTTCATGAAAGCTAATCTATCTCGTTTTAATAGATCAACCGTTCCCACAAAATTAGTTCCGTTGTCCGAAAATATACAAGACGGACAACCTCGCCGACAAATAAACCTAGAAAAAGCGGCAAGAAATGCATATGTTGACAAATCGCTTGTGGGTTCTAAATGTATAGCCTTAATGTTAAAATGTCCTGCAAAATCTACCCCTTTGTTTGTAAAGGGTCGAGAAAGAAAAGTGCGTTCGGGTGGTAGCGAAGCCTTTATTTGGGTTTGGGTTTGTTTTTTTGTGAATTAAGCAGATTCGACATTTTCGTATGGTTTGTTTGATAAGCGACTTGAGTCCAAATATCCAGGATTCGGACCCTAATACTCGGGTCATTAATTGATTACCCCCGTGTAAAGTAACCTTATGAGTGAATTTTTATTAAAGTAAAAATATATAATTCCAAAATTTGGGTATATTATTATTTATGATGATGTTTTGATGTTCCACGTGTTGACGTTGGTTGGTTGGGACATTGGTTTATTACGTTGGTGTTGTTGTTGTGTCTGTGTTTGCGCTGACAGTGTCTGTTGTTTTGCAGTTTCTGTGTAGATACCCCTTCTCACTCACTTTCGTATCAGAATGCGTTCCACTAACATTTGTTCTTTCTTTCGCATAGCCTTATGTGAAGCAGTATTGCTAAATATATTTTTTAAAAATAAATCGCGAATTTAAGCACAAAAGCGTAAATAAACAGACAATATAATATTCCCAGTGATTGCGTTGGAATTATTTGTGTTCTTAAAAAATAAAAAAAAATAATATTTCTGTTGCCCTATACTTTATGATTGATGTGGAGGAGCTTCAAAATGTACCACGGAGGAATTTAAGAGATGCTTCGAATTTGTTTGAAGTACCTAACAACCAGTAAGTATGGTTGTGTTTTTACATTTTTGAAATAATAAAAAATGTATTTTTCTAGGTTTGTGGCCAATATTCGTGTGTCGAAGGAAGTTTTTCGGGCTCTTTTAGATATGCTAGAAGATAAATGGGTTCCCGGTTGCAGAACAACCATATATGCCCCGATTTAAAACTTGGCACATTCTTGCGATTTTTGGCGGCAGGAAGCTACCAGCAGCATTTAGAGACGAAACCCTGACTTCAACAGCGAAGTCTACAGTAAGCAGAACCATTGCTGAATATTTCCAGATTTTTGAGAACCACATTTTTGCCAATGGATAAATAATAATTGTAAAATTAAGAGTTAAAAATATATAATTCAAAAATTTCTTTAAATTATTATTTATGATGACGGTTTGATGTTCCATGTGTTGACGTTGGTTGGTTGGGACATTGGTTTATTACGTTGGTGTTGTTGTTGGGTCTGTTTTTGTGCTGGCAGTGTCTGTTGTTTTGCAGTTTGTGTGTAGAGACCCCATCTCTACGCACAATCTTTTCCAGTGGTCTTCAAAGGATTGCCTGCTGCTTCCAATAATTGACATTCCTCTGGCGAACTCAGGATTCTCCTCCATATATTCAACTAGTGCCCGCAGCTGTGAATTTGATGATTTTTTCGTGCTGGAATTGAGGAAATAAAAAAATATATATTTTTGTTGACAAACTATAATTATATTTATTGTTTTTAATTACCTATTTGTTTTCATTTTCAATCAAGCAATATTTATTTTGAAAAAAAAATCCTGAATTGTAGTCATACGAAAGCAACCACACAAGTGACTGATTTTTACAGCCTGTTCCACGATATCGAAAGAACACGTTCGCACTACTTTTACACGACAAACAGCTGATTTCCGTTCCACTAAAATCCATCAGAACGAAAATTTGCACGAAAATCAAAGCGAACGAAAACGTAAGCGTTTCAGTGTAATTTTGCGTTCCACTATATTTTTTCTTTCGTACGCATGCGAACACAAATGTCAAAATCAGTCACTTGTGTGTTTGCTGTCGTATGATAACAATTAAGGAGAATTGTTTTAACATAAACATTGCTTGATTGAAAATGGAAACAAAAATGTAAGTTAAAAAAATAAATGCAATTTAATATGTGAACAACAAATATATATTTTTTTTATTTTCTCAATTCCAGCACGAAAAAATAACTACACAGCTGCGGGCACTAGTTGAGTATATGGAGGACAATCCTGAGTTCGCCAGAGGAGTGCAAATTTTTGGAAGCAGCAGGCAATGCCTGAAAGACCACTGGAAGAAATTAGTTTTTAAATTAAATACCATACATTGTTCTTTCATAGAAAGCCTACATTGTGTTGTGTTCCTCTGTGAGCGTGGGCTTTTTTATCCATTGGCCGCAAATGTGGTCCTCAATGGTTCTGCTCACTGTCGACTTCGCTGTTGAAGTCAAGGCTTCGTTCCCTAAATTCTGTTGGTAGCTTCCTGTCGCCAAAAACCGCAAGAATGTGCCAAGTTTTAAATCAGGGCGAATTTGGGTAGTTCTACAACCGTGTACCCACTTCTCTTCCATCATATCCAAAAGAGCCCGAAAAACTTCCTTCGACACACGAAAATTGGCCACAAACCTAGAAAAATTCATTTTTTATTATTTCAAAATGTAAAAATACAATCATACTTACTGGTTGTTAGGTACTTCAAATAAATTCGAAGCATCTCTTAAATGCCTCCGTGGCACATTTTGAACCTCCTCCACATCATTCATAAAAAATAGGGCTACAGAAATATTCATTTGTTTTATTTTTTAAGAGCTCAAATTGTTTGAACACAATTTTTATTCTGTTTGTTTATTTACAATTTGTTTGTTTACAACTGAAATGTCAGTTGAGACAGAGCCACTGCTGCTTTTTCGCGTTTAAATTAGTCATTTGGCGATTTTTTTTGCCTTATTTCGCGATTAAGTTTTCCAAAAAATATTTAGCAACACTGAATCACGTAAGGCTATGCGAAAGAAAGAACGAAAGTTAGTGGAACGCATTCTTATACGAAAGTGAGTGAGTAGCCTTCGTTCGCACAAATTTTCTTTCGAGATCGTGGAACAGGCTGTTATGTTCGCATGCGTACGAAAGAAAAAATATAGTGGAACGCAAAATTTTACTGAAATACTTACGTTTTCGCTCGCTTTGATTATCGTACAATCTTTCGTTCTGATGGATTTTAGTGGAACGGAAATCAGCTGTTTGTCGTGTAATAGTTATGCGAACGTTTTATTCCGAGATCGTGGAACAGGCTGTTAAAGTCGATTACCGAAACCATAAGCCTTTGAAAGTTACCGACTTTTGTCGATTTTTCAAAAATGAATTAAAGAATTCCACTGCAGATTCTTAAACAGAGAGAACGTGTGCACTACCTTATACTATTCCCATTCTTTCAGCTTTATTGTAAAATATATGGCAGTATACAAGCGACATATACTTGAATGTTAATGGTTAAACAGCTGAAAAGTTTCGCCGCACTTCCTCGCAAAGAATTTTCTTATGGTAAATCAAAGAAGGTAACGCCATGCAATCATATGTTTGCAATTTGACAACATCTCATTATCAAATATATATATAATATATATTTATAAATCCACCGTAAATGAACGAATGATGTCACAAATAGCGATGGGAAACTATTTTCAATGCAGTGAAATTTGACAAGATGAATTACAGAAAAACTGTGGACATTATACTTTGAAATGAGGTTACCTTGATTTAATTGTACCATGCATTTCCCTGTAACTCCCGTCCAATCCAAGTGCGTGCACAATTATGTTCAATGGTGTGTAAACCACCTTACATTATTTTCGTCTTTCCCTTGTTTGTTCAACAATGCTTCACATTTTGTAGCTAGTTCCGCGCTCTTTTAGTGAATGTGTTCAGTTTTCCTCATGTCTCATTCGTAAACAACAGAGGTCCCTCGGGTTATACATTACACTCATTTGCAAACAACAGAGGCCCCTCGGGAATTTTGCTTCCGTTTGTTTTTTTATCTAGTATTCCTTTTTGGCCTTTATATTCGTTTCGTTGGGGACGACTTTCATTTTGTTTTTCCACGCGCGCATTTGCTCTGTTCTGTAACAAAACAACAGGATAGAAGTACGCGCGCTTCAGAAGCACAACTCAACCACAATAACAACCAACTCAAATCACATCAAGGACTGTTCCAGAACTTCCAATAAGCTATTAGTTTTGAATTTTTTTTATATCATAAAGGAAAAATCGGTTATCAAAGTAAAAACTTTTAAATTCTTGTAGTTCTGAAACAGACCATAAGTTGAACAGGACACATTATCTGAACAGGAATTTGAAATCGAATATGAATAGTACTCGGTTTTCACTAAAGTCCATAGTCGAGTTCGAGTTTCAGAACTTTGAATACTAAAGGTCGATTAATCGGAAGTCGACTTACTTAAATAGCTGTACAATAACGAAACGTTTTAAAAAAGAAACAACAGACGGCGGTTTTGAATTCGAGCAGTGCCAAAATGAGACTGACTTGTAAGCATTATTAAGTTTAATAAATCAATTGTTGCTTACTTGTCTAAAATTAAATTTATGCAAGAGTAAGTGGAAAAATACCATGAGCCGATTAAAATTGGTTGGAAATGAAGAATATGGAGTGGCTTATTTGTATATGTTCATTTATTGTTTCGTCAGTTTGTAACAAATGTTTTTTATATTCTGTCTATCGTAGTCGTCCATGGTCCCAAATGTCAATTTAGATAAAGTTCTTACAGCGTTTATTATACCTCTTTTTTGTCTTGTCTTTATTGGTATTAAAGTCATTAGTTTATTTCTTGATTGTTTGTCATTACTGTTCGTTTTTCATTTAAATTATAATCCTTTCTATTTCCTTGGTGTCAATCATGTGTAAAATTATGTCACTGTCCATAACTATTTCTTGATTTCTTATTTGTAAATCGGTAAATCCTTTTTATATTTTGTCGTTGAATGGAATCGGTCATTATAGTCACAAATAGCTTTCTGGATTAATTGCTTTTTCTCACTTATAACAAATTCCAAATTTCTATGCTGAAGTATTATGAAATCTTTCAATATCTGAGTTGCCCGTATGGTTATTGGTTTTAGTTAGGTGCAGTTCTATGTTTTCATTGTTTAGGAATTATTTTATCCTTGTAGTTTTAATGTCTGCAATTATTTTCTTGGGTATTCCTATTTTAGTAAAGTGCTCTTCCAAATGTTCAATACTTGTAACATGACTTCTGTCATTCAATGAGTACACTGCTCCGAATTTTGAAAATATATTAACAACTGTCAAAATATGATGTCCCTTTAAAACATACGTATCAATATGTATGAAATCATTTGTTCTTGTCGTGTTTCAGTAAAATTAAATTTTAATTTGATTGGACTTCCATCATACTTTACTTCTTGACAAATTTAGCATCGAATTATTACAATTTGAATAAATTCCATTAATTTTGGATAGTATATTTTATTCCTCGTTTGATTATACGTTTCTAATATTCCTGAATGCATACTTTCCTTCACATGGTACAAGGAAATTTGCTTAATAGCTTCAACTTCTGTTTCTATGTCCTGTGCCCTCATTGTATATTTAATAAATTTTATCTGGAAAAAATTTCTATAATTGTTGTCAGAAATTTCTGATTGAATCCCAATTTTTCCTTTCTCAATATATTTTTTAATAAGGGCGATAAATATAATTCTTTTTCCATGAAATTTTTTCATTTCATCTTTTTTATTATTTGTTAAAATAATTTGTGTTTTATATTTGTTTTCCTCTGCTGAATGTACTGTTGCCATTGTTTCGTCTTCTATATTTCAGTGTCCTTACCGCCCCCTTCTTTTTAAATAGTGTTCTCATTATTTTGTATTCTACTTAAGAAGTCAGCGACTCTATTGTCATAATATTTTTTTTCTCAAAATCAGTGTAACGTAATATTGGATGAGTGCTAATCAATGTTTTTAGTTTTTCGAAAGCTTTTCCATATGTTGGATCCTTCGTGTTAATATTTGCTCCTTTCTTTAAATATTTGGTAATAGGCTGTGCTACTTTTGCATAGTCTCTCACGAATTTTTGATAATATCCTGTTAGTCACAGAAAAGCTTTGATTTGCTTCTCGGTTTTTGGTAATTCTAGATTATGGATAATTTTGATCTTATTGGGATTTGGTTTCACATCCTCCTTTGTTAGAAATTGACCTAAAAATTCCGTTTATTTTATCATGTGGAATATAATATATATAAAATCTTTCAGAATTTCATTTATTAGGCATTGAAAAGTTCCTGCTGCATTCTTAAGCACAAACGGCGTTCTTATAAACTCAAACACACGGCGAGGTGTAACAAATTCAGTTTTTTTTCGATCTTCCTTTCGTACTAAAATTTGATGGTAGTCTTTCCTTAAATCTAGGGTGGTAAAATATTGACCTCTTCCTAGTTTTCCCAATATGGAATAGATATTTGGTAAGGGATACTTATCATCAATAGTTATACCATTTAATTTTCTATAGTCTATTACTATCCTGATTTTTTTCTCTCCTGAATTATCCATTTTCTTTGACATTACTATTAATGGACTTGAATATCTTGAGTAAATTTTCTGTATGATCCCTTGTTCCTCCATTTCTTTAATTTGTCTCCTTACTTCAATTTCATATTGAGGTGGATATCTATACAATTTGACATTAATTTGTTGTTGTGTTGTGGTTTTTATTTCATGTTGAATCTCAGTAGTACTTGTTAATTTATCTCCTTCTTTATATAACAAATTTTTAAATCATTTCAATAGAATTGTAATGCCTTTATATTCTTCTTCATTTAAGTGATCTAACTTTAATCTATTTTAATTAAATTCGGTTGTTTCAAGAGTATGTAGTTAGTTAGTGTTTTTAGGCTTACCTTTCTGCCTTTTTTTTAATTATAACAATTTTTTGTTTTTCTTTTATTTCTTATTTAATGGTTTTATTTAATTTTCTTTTTCAATGTATTCTTTTTATTCTTATGTTTGCTTTTTATAATGTAATTTCACTGTTTGATATTTCTGTGGGTTTTTTGTAAAGTTGTAATTAGTTTTGCTTTTTTTGATCACTTTATCACTTATCACTCTGGGGGGGAAACTTGCGGTAGCGATCCACATTAAACCAGTTTTGGCTGTTGATGATGCTTATTTATTGGAATTCAGCATTGGAATTTACCGGTGGCTGCATCAATGTATGTGTGTATGCGTAGGTGCGTATATTATTTACATCATTTTGTTTTGATGTAATTTATGCAGCCGCCGGTAAATACCCAACCAACAGTGTTGGGCAAAATTGCGTGAATTTATGAACATTTTCTGGCCCCCGAATGACAAGTGTAAGTATTCATTTACTATATACCATATAATTTCTCGTTCTTCAGTTCCTCGGCATGTTCTTGATTGGCCCAGCAAACACGTAGCCCAGTTGTGTGTTAGGCCAGGACATCTCCAATTCCAGCTGCTGTACACCCATCTTTCCTTATGGCGGAGTACGTGTCCGCTCCCAGTTCCACATTGATCGGACTATTTCCTCAGGGATCAGGGTCAGCAAGAGCATAGTTCGTAAAACATCTCGTGGGGGTCTTCTAATATCGGGTCTGAGTAAATGCGCCTGGGGAGGTCTTTAATTATTAAAGCATTTACCTTCAGACTCCAATCAGAGTTTGTGCGGCGGGGCAAAATGGTGAAGGTGGTGAATCGCTCCCCTTTGTAGCTCCGCGACTGCAGACCCAAGCGACGGAAAGCTG